TATGACGAGGTCGCCAGTTTTCACCACGACCGGCTTCGCTTCTCCATTGTCCGCCACAAACACCAAGGCAGACATGGCTACAACAAGAGGGCGAGGGAGCGAGGTACAAAACTGTGTATTCAGCACCAAAGGGCTACATGAAAACAAGTTGCTCATGCTTTACTGCAGTCACTTGCACCACAGAATGCAATACGACAGGCGGTGAAGCATGACACACAAACTGCACTCACTGATGTTTTCCGTCTACGGTACAAGTGCTCACGCACGTTTCTGAGGAACGGCTCTCTTGTGTAGCCACTCACTAAAAAGGTCTGCTGTCCTTGGCTTTCTGAACTGGGCACATATGCAATGAAGCCCAACCTTTGAGCTCAGATGCCAAAAGTTTGGTTGTACTGCTCAGACGTCACCGCACAACCAGCGTAAACCACCAAGCCCTCTCAACCAGATGCTGGTACTCTATGGTTTCAGTCTCGCAATAGTCATATGGGTTTCGGTTCGTATTGAGACGCTTCCGACGACCATGTCTCTTCGCACGACGATGTCTTTTATCTCTGGCCTTGCTGGTATGCTTGTTTACAATGTCGCAGAACACACCATGGAGATAATCTGGGTCTCCTTCTGCCACCTTGTAGTTCTGCTCGTACCCCATGGCTTCCGCAACTATCTATGAAAACTCAGCCAAAATGGCACTTGAATGAAAAGCAAGTTGCTCATGCTTTGCTCCAACTGCTCAAGGCTCACAGAATGCGCCCTCGCTTGCAAACAGGACTGAAAGTCAAAATCATGCAAGGCGCACCGTCTAGAAGTCGCCTTCCTTGATGAAGTGCCACCGCGGTGGCTCGTTGAATGTACCCCCTACTACCCATACTATGCCCCATAAAATGAATAAACCTAACCTTGCCCATTTCGGGATGTTACATCACCTGATAAATAGGATGAGATAGAGTATTTTAAGGATAATGAGCTAGTAGTTGTTATTTATATGTATATATAGGTTCACGGTGATGTAACTACCCAAACTGGGCAAGGCCCTCCCTAACTCAATCTCGAGCGACCACTTTCGATCCAGAAGAATCCCCAAAACTGGCCCCCGAAGGAAGCTGTGCAAAGATATGCAGACGGCCGATGACGCCTCACTATATGCCGCACTGTTCGCCTCGTTTAAGAAGTGCTGCAACGCCGGTCGCGTAATCAGCGGTAACGCGCAACGTGCGAAGGGAAGCGACTGACTGGAAGAGGAAAAGACAGCAGCAGATCAAGAACCAGAAACATGGTGTTCGGATGTGCACGGCACAACAGTAATCTAACAGAGGACAGAAAGCTAGATACCATCCGGAGTGCTGAGGATTGGTGCGAGAAAGCAGCCGCCTTGCTGGCTGATGAAATGCCTCGTTTGGATCAGCTGGAGAAGGAGAACTCAGGTGCTCACCCTCCTGCGCACATGTATCCGATTGCAATTCTGGGAGCAGCCCCTGAATGCAAGGTCACACCAATGTTTCGACCTTACAACCGCGTGAATGCATAACTTCGAGCTCTGAGTTTGTGTACATTCGTCATAGTTTGCACGCAGAGTGCTTTGGGTTTCAGCTTCGAGCTCTCCAAGTGCCCTCATGTCTGATGATCATATCAGGCATACCAACAGGGTCAAGGTCAGAGGTGTTGGCCTTAGTGGGGGCCATCACCAGCTTCGGCTGCTTGCGGGCCCGAGAAGACGCAAGCTGTGGCTTGCGCAGAGGCATGAGCCGGTGTGTCGTATTGCAAGAATTGAAGCTGATCCGTCTGTTGGCTTAAAGCAACTGGATACCGTACCCCTGCACTTTTAGCAAACAAATCAGCATGACGACAGCTGCTCAGGCTGCAGCTCGTCGAGGAATTGAAGCAGACGCCGGAGCCCAACCTCACAGCTCCGTGCGAGCCAGGCTAAGTCGCTGATGTTTGAAGGAATTCCTTCGCTCTGCTGAGCTTCTGCACACCCCTGGTGAAGACACCTGAGCCGGCAGTCATAGAACACACGAAGTGTCCTGTCCATACCAACGTGAAATTCTGATGGTTGCAATGCACGCTTGCCTCATTCCTGGAGGGCCCGAACCATCGCACAATAGATATTTTTGCACAGATGCACAAGGCATATCCGAATACTGTGCGTGGCGTAGCCTGAGGCATTCGGGCCTGTGCCCAATCCTTGCTCGGACTGTGCCAAGCTCCCAGCAAGTGCTGGAAGTGTCTGGCACTGACGTCATGCTTACAACCTGCAGTCCACCGCAAGCTCTGTAGGCTCAACGGCGTTGCCTACCACCATGCAGGCACGGCGATTTTCTTGTAGAATGCCGCTTCAACGTCTGTGCTGACAGGTCTCACAACAGACGAGCGCGGCCTGCTGGAGGCAGCTTACCGGAAAGGAGTCCTGCGCCACTCGGGGCTGATTGGCCAGATCCTGTTTCGATGATCCTGTTTCGAATGGCTCGTAGGGTAAGCAAGAAGGCAGGGCCATGTTCTTGTGCATCCGAGGCTGTCTTTGTGCCACGTCAACTCTGGCTGCAGGAGCCCGGCACTCAACCGTTCCCAATCATAAGCATCCCGTGCGGTGCCGCGCAGTCGTCGACCTCACCACCATCCGCAGCAGACCCTTTCTCTCCGAGTTTGCTGCAGATCTGCTGCGCGAATGCCTGGCTGTCTTATGCTTCCCAGGTGAACCTTCCAGCTCGGCGTGTCATCATTCGTTCCATGAAGGCTGTCATTAGCCTTGCCATCGCTAAATGAAGGGAAGGCTTGTCAATCTCAAGCCTCGCCGAGGTTAACACATAGGAAAAGATGATCTTTCAAACGCTTGCGAGTAGCCGCACCCCTCAGACAGTCCTGATCTCTCGCAACCCACGCGAGTTGCACGTCACTTGTCTTCTTCCGCAAGGTGGCATGCGTAGCTTTCTGTAACAGTCTTGAAGATCGTCCCGCGCAGGTTGGACGAGATCCTCTGGATGCTGTCCGTTTCAGACAAATGGCAGGGAACAGATCTCAGCTCCACCGCTGACCAAACTCGGCGTCGTAACCTTCGGCATTGTTGCCTAGGCGCGCAGGACGCGTGGGCTTCGATACAGAGGCTCGCGACCTCAACTCCATCTTGTTTGGTAGTGGAATCGTTGCCAGGGAGAGTGCATTGTGATGGCGAGAACACTGAAAGAAGCCGACGAGGCGACCGAGTCTTGTGGTCGTGGCTACATCGGGAAGAGACTTGTTCCAACTCACTTGAGAGGCTCGCGCTCTCTTTGCTGCCCAGCTGCAGCCGCTCCGGCATCAGCCTTAGGTGGGTGGGAGCATTGCTTTAGACCAGACCCTGGGTGCCTCCGCACAGAAGCTCCGCTCTGCTTCCGGCAAAGATGGTAGGTAAGCCGTAGCGGCACGTGCAAATGCAAAACTCAGCTTGTGAAAGTCAGGTCAGCCCTGGGGAAGGAGCGATTAGTCAGCTTCCCGGTGTCGAAACCTGGTGTGACCTTGTGGCTACATGACATGGGCTCAGGTCAGGGCAGTGCTGGAGGTCATCAGCCTGGGACTCGTCCGCACGGTGGAAGAGCTCGAAGTACGCTTTGCCAGGCACCGCGAATCAATTTCTGGAGTTCGTCTCGGCTGCAGAGTTGCCCAGAGACTGTTCAGGAAGCTGTTCCGCTGTTGCGAAGAGTGGCTGGGTTCTAAGCTGCGAGTGCTCATGATCCCAGTGTTTCCAACAAGCATGCAGCATGTAGAAGGCCTAGCTCTCCCTGACTGGACGACCTATTCATTGCGAGAGGGAGCGTTGGCAGCCTTAGGTGCTGTGCAATCTCGGAACGGCTTAAGCACGAGGACCAACATGCCCTTTCCTGATGCCCTGGCAGTTTGCAAGTGACTCAAGCTAGACTGCAACCACCAGCACTGCCGCCACCACCACCAGCACCGCCACCACCACCACCACCACCACCACCAGCAGCAGCAGCAGCAGCAGCAGCAGCAGAATGTGCTGGGCAGAATCGTCGTCATCGCCATGATTGTCGGCGCCATTATCAACTATCATTACAACTACTGCACCGTCATGATCATGAAAACAGTCGTCTATCGGAAAGGCAGAGCGTAGGTGAAAGTAAGCTTCGGACAAGAGCTGCTCATCAAAGCAGGTCGTCAACATGCAGCAGTCCGGCTGTGATGGTCGTGTTCCCGGCAATTTACGGGGTGGTTCAGAGCTTCAAAAGATCTGGCGAAGCTGGATCCTGACACAGGCTGCTCCCATAGTCACTGACACGTAGCAGGTGCCATTAATACGGCTTTCCTGATTCCTTCATGTTCGCAGATGTCCTCAGCTGGCGCGCCACGACTCTCTCAGGCTGTTCCGGCAAGTTTGCTGCAAGACCTACGTTCGGCACTCTGTTCATTGAAGGCTCGGTTCTTCCGTGCTGCAGCTTCTCCATGCGATGTCTGTGAGAGCTTGAATGCCGGGTGCAGCCGCAAGGCGCAGCAGCTTGTCGAAGTGGACGACCCTCATGTTGCCTGCTTAGAACCCGGTCCCTTGCGGGGTATGCTGCGAAACTCTTGGGCTTTCGTGCGTGGTGTGTGAAAGGGCTATCCGAGCATCGCCAGCTCCGAGCCTGAAAGCCAAGGCCCGCCTGTTGCTGTGTGGCAGAGTTGGCTTTCCGTGCATGTAAAATTGCCCATGCCCAGGCACGGAGGTGTATTCGCCACAGGCCGGCGGTGGAACGTGAGGTCCAAGGCAGAGGTTCTAGTGCTTCGACAAGACGCGCAGAGGCCACAATTCGGTCAACTCCTCTCGGCAATGGCATCGTCCATTCCGCCCTCAAGCCCGAGGAGGTCGCGACCATAACAGCATTAAAAGATTGTGCAAGAGATGTGGCCCGAAGGCATTAAGTGTGTTCTCTGATCTTCAGAGAGCCCGGAAGTGTCTCTGCCCGGGGCTCGTGAATAGAACACGTCCAGCCTCCGGCTGACTTATTTCTTGCGAGGTCTGGACAACGACCTGCATTTGATCTTCCTGGCCACACCGGCAGCATCCGTCACCATCGAACCGGACAAGACCTTAGTTGTTACATGACTGCCACCTGGCCCCCCGGCATGCCTTGCAAACACATGCAAACACACAGATGCTCCCAGCTGTTTGACACAACTGGATGTGCTAGCTCTTGCGGATGTGAAGCTGCCTTCTTTATGAGGACTGGGCAAGATACCTGAGCTATTACGAGCGACTCCAGTCCAGAGATCGTGTCAAGGGCCAAGCTTCAATTTGAACAGCCACAGTTAACAGGTATGTCTAGCTTCTTGACGATTGTATCCCCAGGCTGTTTCTGATGCCGTCGGAGTCTCACATCACTTTCTGTTGAAGCAGGCCCACGGAAGGGGTTTTCCGAGCTGTCCCAAACTTAATCTGCTTCGCCTCGAGTGCACTAAGTTCTAAGCAGGCGCAGAATTGCTCATATTCGAGGGGCTTTCCTGCGTGAGTCCGTTCATCTTTCTGCAGTCCATGGGGCACCGCGGGCCGCTCCCTGGAAGCAGCGGCGACTGGCGCCAGGTGCTTCCCCCCCAGGGGCAGTAGTCCAAGAAAACCTTACGCACTGTGGAACCACGGGTAAACCGAGCTAGTCTACTCAGAGTCTACTCTCATTCCTGAAAGTTTCGGCTGGTACCAATCCCTGGTGCCTTGAGCTGCTAGCATGCAAGCCCTGATGCTGTGCGCTTTACAGGGATGCTGCGGCTGCTACCGAAGATGGTGGTGATGATGAAGAGGATGCTGCTGCTGCTGCTGCTGCTGCTGCTGCTGAGGCGGCGGCGGCGGTGGTGGTTGTTGTCGCATGTTGTCGCTATCGTCGTCGTCGTCGTCGTCCTCGTCGTTGCCATACTGACACGATGTTGACGACGATGTTGACAACGATGGTGATGCATGGTCGTGGACGTGGCGGGATGGTGGTGGTGGCGCTGGTGGTGGTCGTGCTGCTGCTGATGATGAAGATCATCATCGTCAGCATAGCCACATTAGGAGTACTTGCCTACTTACAAACAGCGGTTCGCCCTCGAAGGACCGCGAGCGCGTCACGGCCTTGCCAAGGTCTCAGTGAAATAATCTTCACTCAGAATTCATTCATATAGGAGTAACTATAAATTGCTGTTGAGCATTGCAAAGGCATCGGCGCTTTTGGGCGGCTCTTGCCTTGCGAGAACTTGCTGCTGAGAATCCGCCTGCTCGTGCTGGTCCAAGTCCTTCTGTCTGGGGCCTTGGGGGCTGTTTGCCGAACGTGGCTTGCACCAAGAGGAGTTGCCTGTGCCTTTGCAGCTTCAAGGGGCTCACTGTCTTGACCTTGGCTTTCGGCTCTGTGACAGTCTGACTGCTTAACTCATGTTCTCCATACCCAAGGCAGGCGTTGCAGGGAATAGCAGCCACCTACTGCGGAATGGCCGGACCCTTTCTTCCGGTCGCCAGAGACTGTGATGACCGGCTTGGGCAGGTACGCCAGTTGTGCGAAAGGGTGCACTGGAACGACATGGTGCCCCGTCCATGAATTCAGCTCGTAGCCGTTCGCTTTGTGTGTAGCATTCTGGTCGGTGCCGTCTTTTGCAGGCAGCACTGTTCGACTGCCTGATGCCACGCCTAAACTTCGGTGCTGCGACGGAGGTCGGAGAATGGGCAAAGTTAGGTTTCGCGCTTGTTCTGGCTGAGCTCCACGGGAGGCGCTGCCTTTGTGCCGAATCCCCGGAGTCCGAGACTGAGCACCAGGTGGCCGGACGGTAGCCAAAGTCAGAGGACTTAAGCAGGTGGCTTCTCCGCACGGCATCGTTTCTCGGTGTCATTTGCGTGGGTTCAGTTCCACCAACTTCTCAGCATTCAATGCATGCAAACAGCTCCTCAGGGGATGCGTTCCTATCAAAGAAGATATTGTAGGTTGTTGGCTCTTGTCACGCAGGGGTGCGCACGTGCATGAAACGCAACGAACCGCAGCCATGAAAACTCAAACTTGTCTCTGAAAGTCGGACAGTCCTGCCAGCCCGAAGCGCCCTGTGCAGCAGCTTTCAATGTTTGGACAGGTTTGTGGGGGCAAGCTGCCTGGCAGCCTGCGGTGTTAAATTCTCCGGCCTTTAGACTTTAGACTCATCTCCTGGAGGCCTCTTTGCTTAGACCTGCGGTGCTGGCAGTCTGATAGCTTCACCGGGGCACCGGGTAGCAGAGCGATGACTCGCTCTGGTTGGATCTCCACGGTGTGGACGCCTGTGCTTATGGGTTTCAAAGCCTTGGAAGTTCCGAGCATGTTGTCTCAGAGAGCCGCAAACACCGTCCCCAAAACAGCTGCGCACCGATACACCGATGCACCGTTACGCCCCTGACCGCGAGAGCGGCGTATCGGCGTGTCGGCGTATTTCCCTTATGGATCGGCGTATCGGCGTATTTCCCTTGCGGATCGGCGTAGTTTGGCATGGTTCCCTTGCGCCCGGGGGTGGGGTGAGGGGCGCATCGGCGTATCCACATGTTTCCCTTCCGCAGACCTCGACCGGCTTATCAACGTATCGGCATATTTCCCTTCCACGCGCCCGCGGCCGGCGCATCGGCGTATACTCGTATTTCCCGTGTGCCGCGACCGGCGTATCGGCGTCTGTCCCGTCCGCGAGCCTTCCACCGGCGTATCGGCGTATCGGCGCAAGGCGATCTAAGGACACTATTTGCAGGCACGCTGTGTCGTCTGACGCACGCTGCAACTGCACTGCCATGAATACTTTGCCAAGCAGTTCACTTCTGAATGGGAGCTGGTGTCCTGCATCGAAAGCACGTGTCGTTTGATCGCCGAGCTCTTCATCTAAATTGGATCTTGCCTACTTTCCGAAAATCGATCGGGTTTCCAGCAGACAAGGCTCAACAGCAACTTAGCAAGGCTTATGCAGTCTTTTGTTGCTGCACCTGCAAGTTTGCAGCCTGCTGCAGCATTCATCTTTCCGGCAAAGGTCCACTGCGCGAGAGCAAGGGCCCTGCTGCAGGACCGGCGAACATGCCATTTGCTGTAGCGAGATCGACTGAGAGGAACAAGCCGCCGTGCACAGCTGGGGGTGCTTGCGCATCGCTTGGCAGCAGGTTGGCCTGTCCAAGGTTGAAGAGGTCGTCTGAAGCTTAGGGTGCTCCGTGCCTCGTCCCTCGCGATGCTTGCCACAGCTAGGTCAGGGCTTGCTGGGCTTGTTGCATGAGGCACAGTCGCCAGTCTCCATGGTCGAGTCTGCTCTCAAGAAGCTTTGTCAGCTGGATCCTTGCTGCTACCTCAACTTGTACGAACCGTGCAAGATGTCCAGCAAGCGTCAGCATCGGAGGTGAGCCGAGCGCAGCCCATCATCAGGAGGCCTTTGAGCCTCAGACTCTCCTGTAAATCTGGAACTAAAACTCGGGTCCAGGCTGTCATCCGCGAAGCAGCAGCCCGGATTATCCAGGGAGCGTGTGGGCCTCGTCCGGGAATTGGACCCGTGCCTTGATGCCCTCAGTGCTATCTTTTAGGCAGCAACAAATCAACGCCGAGCTGCAGAGAATGCAGGCGCCTCCTGATCGAGCCGTTTGCTTTTAGCTCTCAGCCTTTCCAGCTGCAGCAAAGCGGAATTTCATTGCAGCAAAGCTCTTCATTGGAGGACGAGACGGAAGAGGCTCGAGCACGTGCTCTCCTCAGCTTTTTACTGTGTTTCGACATGGCACGGCGGCGGTTTCTCGACGAGTCGTATTCTGTTTATTCCGAAAGCTCGCAACGGCAAGGTCCCGACCGCAGCCGTGTGACCCAAGCACTCCGGTCCGTTAACCGCGGGGGCTAGCTGCTTGATAGGCTGTTACACGGCTTGATGCCTCGCAGATCCGACTCGTCGTCTCCGTCCCGCTCTCGCCACCGGCGAAGGCGGGTCCGAAGGCGTTCGAGTTCCTCCAGTGCTACCAGCTCTCCTCGCAGGAGTCCGTCCCGGCCGTCTCCGCAGAGGCCGGTCCGTGTACCTTTTCTTTCCCTTAGGTTAATTTCGGCTGCTGTCAGGTCCGTGGTGTCGGTCCGCTCCCCGCTGTGGGTGCCTCTGCCGCTCCATATTAATCTTTCTCCACGGCCGCCCCTGCCCAGGCCAGACCCGGATGAGCATCCGCCGGTCGCGGTCCCTAAGGCCCGGTTGCCGCTCTGTTTGTTCGTGCTTAGTTGCAGGCTCCCGCAGCATGACTTATCCGTCTGTGCTGCAGTCTTCTTGTGCGATCAAGCTTTCGGTGATCTTTTGCTGCCTTCTGACGCCATATCTCGCATCGGTGGCCTCCACCCGCTCCGCCAGCTCGTTCGTCTGGCTGGTGCTCCGGGAGGTGCTGACCGCGATCAGTCTGGTGCCGGCCGCCCCGCGGTTCTCTGCCCGCGGCCCAGGACTATCCCCGCCCCGCCGTTCCGCGACACATCGGGCAAAGGCACTGGCAGCACCGCCTCTACCGACTGCCCGGGGCGCCACCCGCCCAAGAAACCCGCAAGGAAACCCCAACCGGCGGCCGCCCCAAGGCTGATCCCAAGAGTGCTGCCTCCGGTTCCGGGAAGAAGCCCGTCTCCGAATTGTGGGACTCTTCCTGGGCGACCGAGGACGAGATCGGTAAAGAAATCTGCAAGAGATTCGTCCTGGGCAGGTGCAAGCTTTCGTCGTGCAAGTTTTCCCACACCTGTCCCATCTTGCTTCCGTCCGGCAAGCCCTGCGGCCAGCGTCACACGGCCGCAAAGCACATGAAGACTGCACACTGAACCGGTGCCGCCTCGGCACCTACTGCCGCTCCGCTTCTGGTCGTCCCGACAGCGGTTAACTCTGATCCTGTTCCGGATGACGCCTGCTTGGTCTCATCCTCCTTGTCTTTGGAGGTGGCCACCCAGACTGATGGTGGGTCGGTTGCCGCTGTTGTTATGTCTCCGGCGCCGCCAGTTCGATCTCGGTCTCCTCGCCGCCCTCTCTTGAAGTTTTCTTGGTCGCTCGCGCCGCCACCGTTGGCTTTAATTGCACCCCGCACATCCACCCCCCCGTGTGCTCCGGCTCCCGTGGGCACCGCTCCACCCACGGTCGAGTCCCCCGTCCGTCGCCCATTGGACTCTGCGACTACCTCGCCCAGTCCGCAATTTAGCCAGCTGCCCCAGGGGCTGCATTCTGGTTTCCATTGGGAAACTCAAGCCCGCTAAGCTCTCTGAAGTGCCCATGTCTTTTCCGGGGGAACGACGCACTTGGATTTCAATCCGCATGCCTGCCGACTCCGACCGCAAGCTTTCTTCTGAGTCCCGCGAGGTGCTTAAGATGTGGCAGTCATGTCTTTCCGGCGACACTCCCACCTTTGCCCTGGCATTTGCTCCGCTCTTCCCTTGCCAAGCATTTGCCGACGCTTGCGCCGACTCTCGGTCCGCCGGCATTGGGGGTTTCGTGCGTCTAGACTGTGGTCGGTGCGTCTGGTTCCGTCGTTCCTTCTCTGCCACCGAGCTTTCCTCTCTCTTCCCCTGGTTTGAGAGAGGCTCCGCCCCGCAAAAATACTTGCGGCCTGGGAGTTGCTCGGTCAGCTCGCGCTCGTTTGGTGTGTGGCCTTGCTGGTGCCGGGTGCGCACCCTCCGCTCCACTTCATCAGCCGGTGCGATAATGCTCCTTCCGATTCCGCATCTTCGAAAGGACTGTCCACAGCTCGTGGTCTCTGTGCTCTGCTCCGCACCTATTTTTCCTGGCAGCGGCACTTTTGCATCAGCACGTATATCGACCATGTTCCCGGCTTCCGGAACAAAGTTGCTGACGGCTTGAGCCGCTCCGTTCCTCCGTCTGACCTGGGCTTGCAGACTTCTGACGAGGTTGTGATCCCTTGTGCTTTGCTGTCCGGTCCGCCTCGTCCCTCTTATCATCCTCCGGATGCGCTGGCGGTGTCCATCTTTCCTGCCGCCTTGCCGGAATGAAGGAGGTTGCTTGGAAGTGTCTCCGCGGTTAGAGTTCTGACTTTGGCTGGGTTCCCCCTGCGGGTACTCTTTCAGCGGCTTCGAGTTCCATCTTTGGCCGTATACCCAGCAAAGTCCTTCCCGTCGGCCGGCCGATTCGCTTCGCGACCCGCCGGCCGACCGAATACAGATCCGTAGCCTGTCTCCGGTTCCTCCGGCCCCTTAACCGGTTGGAGGCACCAGACCGACCTGCTGCGGCTACAGCCATCCGAAAAAGGAGTCCGCTCAGCTGTGCTTTTCCGGAATGCCCGTACCTAGCTAACCGACCGTAACGGACCAGTGCTTTCGGATGAACGGTTTCTCGACGAGTCGTATTCTGTTTGTTCCGAAAGCTCGCAACGGCAAGGTCCCGACCGCAGCCGTGTGACCCAAGCACTCCGGTCCGTTAACCGACAAGGGGCTAGCTGTTTGACCCGCCACCGTCCCCAAATTCTCCACCTTTCCGCTGGATTTTCTTTCCAGCCCTTGTTTGCTTTTGGTGGATTTATTGGACTTCGTGTATATAGCTTGGTAGGCCGGCCGTATACCCAGCAAAGTCCTTCCCGTCGGCCGGCCGATTCGCTTCGCGACCCGCCGGCCGACCGAATACAGATCCGTAGCCTGTCTCCGGTTCCTCCGGCCCCTTAACCGGTTGGAGGCACCAGACCGACCTGCTGCGGCTACAACCATCCGAAAAAGGAGTCCGCTCAGCTGTGTTTTTCCGGAATGCCCGTACCTAGCTAACCGACCGTAACGGACCAGTGCTTTCGGATGAACTTTCCCGTAAGGGTCTGGGAAAAC